AAACACCTGTGGCGACGACGTGATGTTTCATTGAAGTTGAAAAGTCGCCTATACTGTGCCACTGTGCGGTAATTTCTGCTTTACGGTTGTGAGACCTTGAATTTGCGGTTAGAAGACATCCATCGCTTAGTGGTTTTCGACAATCGATGCTTACGTAGTCTGACCCAAGTGGGATGGAGTGAGCGGGTTAGTAACTTCGAAGTTAGTCGTCGGGTGTTTGGGAATACCTCAAACAAAAACTCGCTATCGCATCGAATCCAGCTCCATAGGCTTCCTTGGTAAGGACACGTGTTGCGTATGTCCAGCGGTCCCCCACCGCAGCGCGCCTTGTTTTCAGTGGCTGTTGCAGGCTGGATAAAGCCACATGGAGGCCAGCGGGTGACGTGGAAACGAGGCATGAAGAATAGGTTCAATTTCTGTCCTTACATTTACCTTGTATGCAATATGAGTTTGGCAGCGATCAGTGAAGTTTACTTCACTGTATTACGCTGTAGAATGACGATGATGATTATATGCTTTCCCAAGAGTGGTTTTTAAAATTTTGTTTTGATATAATGCAAATTAAAAAATATTCATGGTATATACTTTCAGGACAGTAACGTGAGGTATGCCAAGAGGTCGGAAATCCAAATTATATGGCATCCAGTTTCGATTGGATTGCGAGTGGACCAATTGTGAAAAATATTTTTCAGGTTTGAACGAATTAAAACAACATCAGTTGGATCACTTCAAGGTAGGTACGCAGCATTTAATTCCGTTAAACTACGGACTCTGGTTATGACCGTTCGTCTTTGCATTGATGTGATCAATAGGTTGTACATATAAGGTTGAAGTACGTCAATCAAGTCAGTTTCACTTCGGTGTTTCCACGCATATTGTCCCAAAAGCTACTGTTTCTAATTCAGAGAACAAGAGTAATATCGTTTTCCGTTTCACGTTAAGATAGCTTGTTGGTCTAATTACATCCCAATCACCGGCAGTTGAGCGCTAATCACAGTCAGACCTGATCGTACACATTAATGCTCTCGGCGTTCCTAATGTTTAGGATCTCTTTCAATGGAAGTGTAAGCCTAGGTTTGACTTTCAGATGAAACTCTTCAAAAGCTGTTCATGGATAGTGCCGTGATATTGCTCTGATTATGCCAGTTACATAATATGCTCTTGTATAGAGAATTATTTTCCCTGTTTAATGAGTAGGTCTGCTGTCTGATGACAGTTCGCCAAAACTATGGAAAAGCAGACAATTGTAGTGTAACTCCCTAGTGTATTGATATCTAAAGGCCACTCCGTGACAAAGAGCTGATATGTAAACTGTCTAGGCTCCTCACAGGTTGCGAATTTATCGATCGAACCTTCGGTTTCCCATAGCTTCAGCGTTCTGCGCTGTACTGAAATGCCGATGCTATTGACTACAGTTGATGTTTGCACGAACCGTGCTAGAAAACGGTCAATATTGATTTGGGGCGAAAATGGCATTTTAAGATGCAAGATTGGACTCGACTTGAGGTTTTCAGTGGGCGAAATTTACGAACCTTGATAAATATAAAATCACGTAGAAGAACTAGTGACATAGAGATGATATATTCTACGTTCGGATGAGAGTTGTTATTTTACCAAGATTACTGACGAAAAATTCGATAATTTTATCACACAGACTAATTATTCGAGAACAACTTGCTAAACTGCCACTGTATCTGATTGTCCACCGCAGGTGTTAAAGGAAGAGGCGGCTTACACCCCATGTACTCCGCTATGCGGCATTTGTCATGTTCCATTGGATTTGAACGACGAAGATAATGTGGAACGTCATTCTCATTACCATGCCTGGAGTATTCACCTACGGGTAAAAGGTCGTGAACTCCAAGAGTTGAATAACTGGCCGCCCTGCTTGTCCGATGCGAGCTCGAGAAATATGGTTCCGGAACTCCCAACGAAATTCGAATGTGGTTGGGAATACTGTGACTACCGCACAAACGATATATCAGAATTTTTTTCTCATGTCTCTCGACATTCTGAAGTAAGCATCTATAGGATTGTTCAACTCACAGTGTCTTCTAGTTTTAACTGCGGTATTCTGTTTGTGACTATCCTTTTATTTTATTGCCTTTCATTCATAACTTCGTTTTGTCATCTTCATGTAGGCAACATGCTGTGCATGGTCGTTTCGACAACAACTTACATACGGTCATAGTATGCTTTCGATAATGCACACAAAAATATGAAATTTACGCTGAAACAAAAGCTACTAATATCTTAATATACGCTTGGTTCTTTGTGATGACGGGTGATGACTGAACGATCAGTGCACAAGAAGTGACGTGAAGTGAAGTTTATCTATCTCCGTACCACTCGTACCAGTGAACGTGAAGAACCCCGTGGTCTGTATGATAAACAGATCCAGAAGAATCCACCTGGAGGACATCAATACTGATGAAATCCAAAATTTATGGAATATTTTTGTGTTATATTGATATCCGGAGCGTTTAGTAAACTGTACTGTAAAGACAGGATACGCCCCCCCGAAATATTTGAAGTCAGGAAAACAGCTGTGTATCTTTGTCCTTTAAAATTGAACATTAGGAGAAAGACAAGAAAGGTTAAAAGTAGGATTAAAAAGAAAATTAAAAATTTCAGTGGACCAATGTTGCACAGAAATTGACAAGATGCACGAACGCCACTGTTTACGACACAGCCATATTACTTAATGTCTCCAACCATCGGGTACGATCAGCCCGAGGTCCCCATCCAGGGTACCTAACGGGACCCATGTGATCTAGTCTCCCGGTTAGGGTTTTCATACCCTAATGCCAGGTCTTAGCTTGACCACCCTTGGTCTTTTTCTACCCACTACCTGCCTCGATGAACATCGCTCGCCGTGGTAACCTATCTGGGACAGGCGTAACACATGCCCCAACCAACTTAATCTGTGGAGGTCGATCATTTGTTCCAGTGGGCGACCGCATTTAACTAAAACTCTGCGCCTAACCTCAGAATTGCTCGTCCGGCTGACTTACAAGATTAGTGCAATGCTGCGTAGACAGCGGTGTTCAAATACCGACAGTCTATCTTTATCCTGTTTTCTTAATGACTAAGTTTCTGCTCATATAGCATAACTGGCCGAGCTGCCGCAGTTTGTACTAGATCCTTCACAGACAGCCGGATGTTGCGACGGAGCCACAGATGTCTCAAGTTAGCAAACGCCAACCAAGCCTTCGGTATGCGAGCTGAAACTTCATCCATGATGCATCCAATTAGCGAGATGTGGCTGTGCAAATAACAAAACTTATCCACTTGCTGTATTACTTCCCCAGTTAGAGCAAATCTAGGTTCTGGACCAGCCCAGTCTTGTAGTAAAATTTTACAGTGTGAAGATACTAAACGCATACCGAACATGGCTACATTGGCATTCAAGCTCTCTCGAAAAGCTTGCAACTTACCTGGATCTTCACCTAGCAGCACAATGTCATCTGCATCCTCTAGATCAGATAGCCTGCCACCTGGGAGTAAATCGGTGCCACTATCCTCGCACAAGGATAGAACTGTTTCCATAATCAAATCTGTAACGAAGTTAAATAGAAAAGGAGAGAGGGCAACCCTGACGAACTCCGCTTTCCGTGGTGAACTCGGCCGAAAAAGTGCTGTAAGCTCGGACTCAACTTCGGCTATTAATATAGAGTGATTGTAATATTGAAATAAACTTCTTGGGCACATCCTTCAGGAAAGGGCAGCGCCAGAGTTTGGAGCGGTCAGCTGAGTCGAAAGCCGTTTTCCAGTCGAGGAAGACAGAGATGGTGGGTCTAGGAAAAGAATGCCCCAGAATTCGGCGAAGAGTGAAGATGTGGTCATCACGACGAGACTGCACCTTGACGCGGTGTGATGGCTTGCGTGCCTCTATGACCCTGCGAGCTACACAAGATGGCTTTTCACAGCCATAGAT